ACAGGTGGTGGCTTCAGCTCTAGATTGGAGGCTCACTCCGAAAACTGGTTTAGTGGCTGCCGCTAATTCTGTTTGGCCTTAATATTGTGTTCTAGCACCTTATTTAATATGGGTTAGTTGGGTTGGCTCCTCCACTCAAAGGGCTCCATAGCCTAATGGTAAAAGCGTCGGTTTCCAGTTCTTCACTTCCACAGTGTGAGGGTTCAAATGCCGGCTGTGAACACGCTTAGTGGCTTCCGCTAATTAATTTTTGGCTGGAATGGGAAATCAATTCGAAGTTGAGTCTGGTGGTAATACTGGTGATAGTGGTGAGTAGCAGTAGCAGCAGCAGTAAAGCTGTTGCAGGCAAAGTAGCAGAAGGAGTGGTGGCAGCAGAGGTGGTTGTAGTAGTGGTTTGTAGTAGTGGTGGTTCGAGTCCCGGCTGTGACCACACTTAGTGGCGTCCGGTAATTAATTGTGGCTGGAATGGGAAGTCAATTTGAAGTTGAGTCTAGTGGCTTCCGCTAAATCTGTGGTGGTGGTAATACTGCTGATAGTAGTGAGTAGCAGTAGCAGCAGCAGAGGTGGTTGTAGTAGTGGTGGTGGTGGTTGTGTGATCCAAGGGCTTGGATCACACACCCACCTTTTGATCCATACCCCATGGATCGAGGTATGGATCGTGTGTGGGTTTGGGTGTGTGATCCAAGCCTTATGTTTTTGGCCGTAGCCATATGGCCTCCAACCGAAGAGCGATGGCCCTCCAACCTAAGAGCGATGGCCCCTGCAACCTAAGAGCGATAGCCCTCCCTAAGAGCAATGGCCTCCAACCTAACTAAGAGTGATAGCCCTCCAACCTGAGCGATGGCCTCCAACCTAACTAAGAGCGATGGCCTCCAACCTAAGAGCGATAGCCCTCCAACTTAAGGGCAATGGCCTCCAACCTAAGAGCGATGTCCTCCAATGCAGATTGTTCTACAGATCTGCCGCAGGCAACGCTGCACTTAGATTCTATATAGAACTTCCCAAAGGCCTCTCTGTTTGCACTTAGATTCTAAAAAGAATTGGGGCTTTCGCTTCCCAAAGGCTTCTCCGTAACGAATCGTCTGCGCCTCGATCTTGGTTTTGGCTTGCAACAGGTGCTTGGTGACCTGCTGCCGCTGAGAGCCCTCTTCGACAAATCTTGCTCCAAAGCGGATGGTTTACCCGCCTTTCCCGCCGGCACATTCAACCCAAGAGGCTGATGGAGAGTGTCAGAATACATGGCTCGATCTGGTGATTGGTGGGTCTCGAGTGCCATGGTTTCATCTTTCAGAATTGGCATCTGTTTGTACAATCCAACAAACGCAGGCTGATCATGGCTGATCAACGGATATTTCCGAAATACATCTTTGATTCTGCAGCCTGTTGCAAATATCGGTCTTTTTGGATTGGAACCAAGTCGGGAACCACGACACCTCATCCATCTCGAGGTCTCTGTGATCAGGGACGGCTTGCTCCACCTGACATCCATCCCCAAGCGTCGAAAGCAAGGCCTGGAGCTTCTTAAAGTCACAATTAATCAGACGCAGCGCTTCAGGCTTCGGTCAGGCTGTCAAACTAGGGGATCATTACTTGTGAACTGAGTGAGCATCGTACACTATTTCGTTATTTGTTTAGAGCCCTTCATCCTCTGAACCAAGCTTCATCCAAAGGTTTGAAGTGTGCAGAATAAGTCATCAGTATTATCTGTGTTGTACGGCATCTAGGGCCTTGGACGCTACGTTCGGGGCTCCTGGCATCGCTACGAACGGAGCAAGGACGCTACTCCCAGTCCTGCCACAGTCCTCGATGCTTGGGTCCTACGCCATTTCACCAAGACCGGCTCGAGCCCACCGTTGCCTCAGTGACCGGCTCCAGCCGGCGTCCTGTAGTGCCTCCCGGCTCTCCCGGCCCTCGGCCGGTTCGCATTGGCCCCAGTCTCGGCCTGAAGAGATCATCCGAGTTTGGAAGCCACTTGTTGGACTCACCCAAGTCTGGCATGGAAGAAATCGGAAAGAATATGAAAGAATACATGGACTATGAAAGCTAGCATGCTTTTTCAAGTCTACCGTTACTACTGTCTACCAGTCTTTTGAGGCCAATGCACCTCATGATGCCTCATTAAGTGCCTTCTTGGGGAAATGAAATGGACAACGTTGCACTCGCCTCGACCGCAACGGCGGCTCATGGGGGCGTCGTGGGGCGTTGGGCATCGCGGTCCGGTGATCGACGTCCAGATGTCCGGTGACCTGTCGTGACACGGTCGCCGCTGAAGCTGACAGACTAGCAAAAACTTGTGGAAAATCTGTTTTGGTTTCAATTCAGGTGGTTTTTTTGATATAACTGTTTAATGATGTTTAATGGTTGGATTGAAACCTTGCCAAAGTTCATGAGTCACCTCGTCCATTTGGAGGTCTCCAACCAGATCAGGGGCTTTGGCTCGCTCCACCTGGCATTGAAAAGCAGCTGTCTTGTGCTCATGAGCTTGTGGGTCGGCGGAAGCAAAGGGAAGAGTCAATGAACTGAGTGGAAAACTCTGAGGCAAACTTCATCCAATGGCATTGGGAGCAAGGACGCTACTAGGGGGGCTCCTGGCCTTACTACTAGGAGCAAGAAGCTATTAGGAGCAATTGGCATCGCTACTAGGAGCAAAGGGACTGGCAGGTTTCCACAGAAGTCTTCTTCAGGCCCTACAGCAATGGGTTCTGCTCGGCAAACAAAGTTATGGTGCTGTGCTTCCTGGGCACGGGCTTCAAAGTGTTTCTACACCGGATGGATTCTTGCTGCTCTGTATGGTTCACTTGGAACTATCAACCCGCTGCGGCTCAAAGAACACATTCCTGTGTCCAATGGTCCAAAGAAATAACAAAATGCCCTGGAGATCAAATCAAAATGATTGAGCCATGCAATACAAATCTGACTGTGAGCCTGCCTGATCAGTAACAGGCTCAAGCGTACTGGATGGTCCTTATGGCCGCTCGACGCAAGTCGCCTGTTCACTCGTTCACCTGTTCAGATCTCCTCATCCGAAACGATTCTCTCGCCTCTTCCTACCCGCCTCGTCCTACAATCGCTTCAACTAGAACTGTTCATTTGTGCAGTTTGTGCAGTTTGTAAGCATTTCTCAGCCTGGCGTTCAGTCTTCTAATGGTAAACGACAGGGACCATCTAGACTTCTGACATCACCATATAGACCTCTTCAGCCCATGTTTCTTTGAAATACTGTTTGATTATGTTTGTGACTCATGACGTTCATGAGATGCCTGCAACCCCTCACGGAGCGCCTGTGGGCTCCAGCGCAGTTGCAGTTGGCAGTCGCCTGGACAGGATGGCGGCGCGGCGGCTTCCAGTGAGCTAGGTGAGCTGCGTAGCTTACATTGCACGACTTGCGCCTGTGTTTGGGTTCAAATTCGATGCTACTTCACACGGCTTCTAATATCTTCTCGCCTTGGAACACACAGAGGTTCGGAACACCTGACGGAAAGAGCTACGACAGCTACGTCCAAGGCGTCATGGCACGGCCATCTCATTAGACAGGTCCTCATTAGACAGGTCCTCGGACCAGTTGATGTCCCAATCGTTCAGTGTCCTGAATGAAAGTTTAAAGGTCCCAATCCGATTTATGACACACGAGAAGCTACTAGTAACAAGGGCATTACTAGTAGTAGCAAGAAGCTACTAGTAATCCTTCTCCAGACTCCCCTTAGAGGACCGTGATTCGATCCACCGTCTCTCTCCAGTCCACCCGACCTGGAGTGCTCCAACACCTGCGAGGGAGCGAAGCTGAATGAAGCAAAACACAAGCTTCGTGCTACGTTCGTAGCAATGGCCTCCAACCTACTAGCGATGGCCTCCACCCTACCACCTTTGCAGGTGAGACCTTGGATCAGTTAAAATTCACAAATGACAAGAACTTGCTTCATTGGGATGCTTTGACCTCTTTGTACCAAGTCGCCACAGACTTGCAATACAGAAATAGGCTACGGCCCTTAAGCTTACACTTCTGGTTCAAGAGTGTCGAGGCCTTTAAAATGATGTTTTTTTGTCGGCTGTCAGCTGTGCAGCAAAAATCAAATGTGGAGCAAAGGCAGGCAAACTGTATGACTGCAGTTTGTACTAAGTGTTCTGTGGCAAAAGGTGTTCACTTAAGTATTCTGAACCAACTAAGTGGATCGAAGACCTCCGAAAATGGCACGCGGGGCCGTGAGGTCCTACCAGGCTGCCGGTGCTTCCTTTTTGCAAGTGGCCACAAATAAGCGCTGCAAGCTTATGTCAAGAAAAAGACACAAAAATGGTACTGCCTGGTGCTGCCATGTTCTTAACTGCTTGGTGCTGCAATATTGCAATGGAACTTTAGCAAAATTTTTAAGAGTTTCTTTCCCTCAAGCCCCAACACGATGATTCACATGGAACATCCATGAACATCCTTTTCCACCAACACAAAACTGTTCTCAAATAATTTAAAAAATGTGTTAAAGAGACGTGTTCAAAGGTTTCTTTGTCGCACCAAAAACTGCACAAAAAGTGCGTATAGCGTAAAAAGAGCAAAAATGTGAACAAAACAAGGAGGAAAATGCATTGTAACATGTTGTGACAATTTTCGGTTCATTGCACAGCTTAATGATTTCCCCGTTGGATAGGACACAACCAAATAAACATATGAGCTTGGGAACACTCTTGCAGCTGCAACTCTGGAAAGGAAACCAGTGCAGGGAATTCCTATCAAGAACACTTGAAGAGTTTTGTCTTTCGCTTTGTTCCTATTTCAAAATGGTTTGGTTCACATATCAAGAAGAAGACACACCCACAAGCAAAGTTCCTACGCATGTGTTTCAGCCACTTGGCAGATGCTCTCCAAGCCCTGTGACACGATGGCGCTTCAAACACAGAGGACACAAGCCGACCCATTCGGTCATTGAACATGTAGAACGCTTTTGAAGCGCTTGGGCTGGTTGGAGGCGAGATTTCGCTTCAATTTTCGCGAGAGATTTCTGTCACTTCTGTCACTGCTCGACTTCTCGGATGGTTTCGTCCGAAGTGAAAACGCTTCGACTTCTCAGTGAGACACAGTGAGCCGGAACCATCTCTGCAATGTCAGAGTGGACTGACAAGGTCAATGAGCTGCAGCCCTCAAAGGCCTTACGTCCAATCTTAGTCACAGCGTCAGGAATTCTTAAGCTTGTCAACGAACTGCAGTCAGAAAAGGCCTGGTGCCCAATGCTAGTCAGAGATTCTGGAAGTGTCAGGCTTGTCAATGTGCTGCAGTTAGCAAAGGCCCAGTCTCCAATGCTAGTGACAGTGTCTGGAATTCTCAAACTGGTCAACGAGCAGCAGCTGTCAAAAGTCCCCTCTCGAAGCTCTGTTACAGAGTCTGGAACCATGAAACTGGTCACTGACCTGCAACCACGAAAGGCCGCGTCTCCAATATTCGTCACAGAGTTTGGAATCTTCAAACTGGTCAGTGAGCCGCAGCCAGAAAATGCCCTCGGTCCGATGTTGGTCACAGAGCCAGGAATCTCCAAATGTCTTAACGCACTGCAGCCAGCAAACGCCTGGTCTCCAATGTTTGTCACAGACTTCGGAATTCTCAAGCTGGTCAAGGAGCTGCAGCAACGAAAGGCCGCTTCTGCAATCTGAGTCACCTCGGCCGAAATGGTCAAACTTGCCAATGAGCGACAACCAGCAAAGGCCTGTAGTCCGATGCTGTTCACCGTATCCGGAATCGTCACACTGGTCAGTGACCGGCAGCCAGCAAAGGCCTGTGGTTCAATGCGAGTCACAGAATCTGGAATCGTTAAACGTGTCAGTGAGCTGCAGCCATCAAAAGCATGCTCTCTGATCAGATGCACACCATTCGAAATGGTGACACTTCCAATTGAGTTGCAGTTCTTGAAGGCAAACATAGGAATGTCCCATGTGTCCTCTGGGATGCTCACTGCAAATAACTCTTCCACATCGCCACTCAAGCAACTCAAGTCTTCCTTCGTTTTGCATTCGATTAAGCGGACCTTGGATTTTCTGAGCTCGGGGACTGGATGTTGACACCCTAATAGCGATGACCTGTTACTAGTAGTGAGGCCAGCAGCTCTTAGTAGCGTCCTTGCTCCTAGTAATTAGCGATGCCAGGAGCCCCTAGTAGCATCCTTGCTCCTAGTAGTAAGGCCAGTAGTGTCCTTGCTCCTAGTAGTAAGGCCAGGAGCGCCTAGTAGCGTCCTTGCTCCTAGAAATTAACGATGCCAGGAGCCCCTAGTAGCGTCCTTGCTCCTAGTAGCAAGGCCAGGAGCGCCTAGTAGCGTCCTTGCTCCTGGTAGTAAGGCCAGGAGCCCCTAGTAGCGTCCTTGCTCCTAGTAGTAAGGCCAGGAGCGCCTAGTAGCGTCCTTGCTCCTGGTAGTAAGGCCAGGAGCCCTTCCTCCTAGTAATTAGCGATGCCAGGAGCCCCTAGTAGCATCCTTGCTCCTAGTAGTATGGCTAGGAGCGCCTAGTAGCGTCCTTGCTCCTAGTAGTGAGGCCCTGGTCCTTGCTCCTAGTAATTTGATGTAATTAGTAGTCAGGCCAGGAGCCCCTAGTAGCGTCCTTGCTCCTAGTAGTACGGCCAGGAGCCCCTAGTAGCGCCCTTGCTCCTAGTAGTAAGGCCAGGAGCCCCTAGTAGCCCCTAGTAGCGTCCTTGCTCCTCTAGTAGCGTCCTTGCTCCTAGTAATTAGCGATGCCAGGCGCCCTTAGTAGCGTCCTTGCTCCTAGTAGTAAGGCCAGTAGCGTCCTTGCTCCTAGTAGTAAGGCCAGGAGCGCCTAGTAGCGTCCTTGCTCCTGGTAGTAAGGCCTAGTAGCATCCTTGCTCCTAGTAGTAAGACCAGGAGCCCCGAGTAGCGTCCTTGCTCCTAGTAGCGATGCCAGGAGCCCCTAGTAGCGTCCTTGCTCCTCGTAGCGATGCCAGGAGCCCCTAGTCGCTTCTTGTTAGACTTACCAAAAGAAAGACCATTTTTTACCCACTTCAGCGTCTCACTGGACTGAGATTCGTATACAAGAAAAGGAAGATGTTATACAATACATCCTGATGACTCTGAACAGGACGTCCAAGGCGACATCCTCCGAAAGGCCGGCTTGCATCACTGTATGATCGTCATCAATCAGCTGAGTGTCTCCCATGAGCAGGTCGACCATGGTGAGCCTTTTCGTCAAGTCATCTTCCCATTCTTGTGAAGCTTTGAGCTGTCGTTTGAACTCGCCCATGGTCATGTCAGGGTAAGCTTCAACTGTAGTAACGTTTCCACCTAACAATCAACAAATCACTTGCTTCAAACATGTGAGAATTAAACAATGTTTTATAGTTCAATTCCAAAACAAAAATGTAAAAATCTCGAGCACTCAGTCACTCATCTGCTGCACCACGATTCTCATCGTCATCGCTCAGAAGCAACACTACAGCGAAGGACATGGACGACTGTTGGCTGCTGAATAATCGGAATAGGCATAGATCGATCAAACACCTGATGCCCTGGACCAAAATGTTGCGACTGCTTTGAGCTATGCGGAAGTGCATCTGAAGCACCTCTGCGCTTGACATGTTCCAACATGTTCCAACCACTTCCGGGAAGCCTGCTGATTTGAGAGGATTTCCCAAGCTGGGCGTCTACGAACCTGGTCCTCAGAAGGGGCGGCTTGCTCCACCTGGCGATCCAAGGCACCAGAAGGTGCCAACACAAGTTTTGGGGCCCAGCAACTCCAGCGCTCACGTAGTTCAGCCACTCCAGTCTCTAGTGCTTTACGTAGTTCTTCTTTTTCTGACCGCGGATCGCCGAGCAGTGGAAACGAATCCTTACATCCATCGTGACAAATGCGAAGACAACTCATATGACGCGTGGAAGTTCTGTTTTCCCAATCAGTCCTGAGATGATGATCTATATTTGTCATTATGTGTCCAAATCACTGCACAAGCCTTCTGTCATACTTCATGGCTTCAAAGGAGTACAACCCTTCAACATTAGACTCAAAACACCCTTCTGACTTCTCTTCTCATCTTCCTGTCGCCTCGCACGCGATCGAACTGCGGGGATCGAAGTCCAGATACATGTGCAACGAGTGCTGGGCCTGGCGTGGCCAGGCCAAAGCACGGCTGGCGGAACAGGTGAAGTGAAATTTGGCACATGGAATGACCAATAATCACCTGGAGTTCATACTATGGTTTGATGATATCATTGATATCATTCCAACAGCGCTTTTTTGAACCCATGCAACATTCCAGACTGTCATCCAGGTCCCTGGATCAGCAGACCGTTCACTCATCATGCAGAAATTCAAGTCGCGTGCTTCTCATTTCTAGCGAAGCATGGGATCGTGGCATGTGTTGCATGTTTACTAATTACTAGGAGCAAGAAGCTACTAGGGGCTCCTGGCATCGCTACTAGTGACAAGAAGCTACTAGGAACGTAATTCGGCAACCTGTCAATCACCTGGAGACTGCGATCGTACAAGCTTCCTCCGACAATCCAACCCTCCCAGCCGTGTGCAAATGACAAGAATTGATGTCCTTTTGCCCTCTCCCCTACCTGCATATCAAGAAAGGATTCACCAACACGCGACAGCCCAAAAGGGCCAAAAAGGGCACAAAGCCAGCCTTCTCCTTAAAGGCTGCCACGGCATCCTTGAAGCGTGACCTTTCTCGAATGTTGAAGTGTCACCATGGGTGACCCTTGGTGATCCATTCAAGTGTGGAAATCGACGTGTCAGGCAAAACCCGAAGGAAACCCAAGGGACACCTAGGTCCTTGACGAGTCAAGTAGTATATAGCTCAACAGAATCAACTTGGGCAAAACACTTTGGCCTCACAAATTAGCCAGAGGAATCTTCGATCCAGATGTGAACACTATGATCCATCTCTCTTCCGTGCCTTGCTGAGGCCTGGCTGCAGGTCATCCCAAAGCAGGGCAAAAGCAAACACTAAAGGGAAGGACTAAAGCGGACTAAAGGATAATGATAACGAAGAAAAACAAGGTTTTGAGGTTCAGGGCTGGTGAAAGCTAGATATCCCATCACCCATCGCCAACAAGTAGAACATCTGCCTCCGGAGGACGTTCCAAGATTGAATGCGCAGTTCCCTCGTCCTGTATGCTACGAGCAAAGTCGCCTGTGATGGCGGAGACAGTAAACCTGGGCCGCACGATTGGATGGAGCAAGAGTGGGAGTTTAATGACGGGATGTCTGATTTCAAGAGGGGTTCGAGGGGGGTGCAGCAAATTCCACCAGTCAACCAAAGGGGAAACGCAGGGTGTCGGGTGCACGATTCATTGGAGAGCTTAAGGCAGAAGGGGTATGTGTTGAAATAGGGCCTGGCAATAACTGAGTTGCTTCTCCTTCTCCTAATCCTCACAAAGGCAACTATTGAGATCCAAGAACACGGCGCTCGCATGCGCTCGCCATCTTTGAAGTCCAAACTGCTGATATGGGGAATGCTAACACAACTTGATCAGAAAGGCCGACCTCATTGGGATCATGCAGCACGCCTAATCCGCCTAATCCACTGTTCTGGTACCCATCAAAACGCCGGAGTCTTTTCCTCTTTGGTCACTATGTTTTGCACCAACGCAGCTCTCTAACTTACCTCAGTCAACCGAGGCTTCGGCTGGTTTGCTTTCGGTCCGCCTGAACTGTGCTTTCGGAGTTCTGAAAGCGTGTGAATTTGCATTGGTAAGCAGGGGAATGGTGAGCAAGGGCCTGCAAGGGAGTATCAAGAATAAGAAAGGGAGTGCTAAAGTAAAGCACAGGAGGCTATTTACATTAAAACGCTGTGTGGGAACAAAATCATGTATTCAAGGACAACACGAAAACCTATGACGTCGACGACATGCCTTCCTCGCGTGAATAGCTATGATGACACTAGGTCGGCCTCATGCCCTTTTCTACTTAGACTTGTACTTGTCACACTAGCGATGGCCTCCAACGTACAAGCGAGGCTCCACTCGTGCTTGATGTCTCCATCTTGAATCTTTTAGACTCTGAATTACCCTCGATCACAGGTGTTCAAATGAAAGGCAACTACTCTGAGCGATTTGCCCAAAGTGGTACAAAATCCTTGACGGGTAAAGGTTTTTAAGACATAAACAATCATCATTTCCTGAAACCCAAAACCGTCGTTATTTCGAGACTTCCCTTCGGTACGTCGGTACACCGATCTTTCCAGCTCCACTTTCGAGATCCAGGCGAAGGTACTGAAGATCCCCGTGACGGACTCAGCCTGCACAAGCGCAGTGCTTTGCGATCTCGTGGCCATCGACAGAAGGGGCGTTGATGGTGTAACGCGGCATGATTGTCCATTGTAGGATGCAAATCCTTCTTGATGTATTGTCATGATTTTGCCCCTCAAACCGAAGAGGATGAAGGTTCAAGGTGGACTCCATGACATTCTGACCATCCACTCAAATCCGATGATGAACAAGGAATCCCAAAACTCATGAGACTCAATATCAGATGAGACTGCAAGCCCAAAATAATCCAGTGATAAAATTGCGAATTTTGTATATGCTCTTGTCGCAGGAAGATCAACTGAGTAAGAAACCGCGCACCTAAGGACCTACTAGGGGCTCCTGGCCTTGCTACTAGGAGCAAGGACGCTACTAGGGGCTCCTGGCATCGCTACTAGGAGCAAGGACGCTACTAGGGGCTCCTGGCCTTGCTACTA